CGTGGCCTTGCGGGTGGCCGTGAAGCCCGCGACGAGCTTGACGCAGGCTCGTAACTCTCCTGCTCCTTCTCTATCATGTCTCCTCCATGTCTCCTTCTCCTTCTCCATTCCTTCCTCGTGAGGCCGCGCTCGTGAAGCAGCTGGAGGCGCTGGCGAGTTTCCACGAGGACACCTGGCACCTCGCCGATGGCATGTCGGACTGGTGCACTCGCGTGGCGCGCCGGCTCCGCGCGATGATGCGGCACGTCGAGCAGGCGATGGTGCGCTTCAGGACAGCCGATCGCCCAATGAATCCTGGATAACCCCAGTAGCACCCCCCCCCGCACCATCGTGAGAAATTTAAGGGGGTGAGTGGGACGAGAGGGAGGATGGGGGAGGATGAGGAGGAGGGCGAGGAGGGGAGGAGGAGGAGGAGGAGGAGGAGAATGAGGAGAAGGAGGAGGAGGAGGAGGAGAAGGATATGGAGGAGTGGTGACGGGAGGACCCTCCTCCTCCTCCTCCTTATCTTCCTGCTCCGCTGTTCCTGCTTCTCATCCTCCTTCTCCGCCTCATTCCCTCTCTCCCTCTCCTCGCGCCATCCTCGTCCCAACCCTGCCTTGCGCCGTGCGCCCTCCGACCCCCCTGCCCACCTGGCGAGGAGCCGCGGGAGCAAGCCGTCGTGGCTCATCACCTTCGTCGAGAAGGATCCTCGCTGGGCGAAACGAGTAAAGAGGAGGTGGAGGAGGATGAGCAGCAGCAGCAGCCGCGAGGAGAAGAGGGGATGAGGGAAAGAAGGATGAGGAGGAGGCTGGGAAGGCGGAGTAGAAGGTGGAGGATGATGAGACGGGGGGGAGGGGCAAAGGAGTGCGTCGGGGGACGGAAAGAATGGGGGGAGGCGTGGAGAGGGCGGGGGGGAGATAGGGGGCTCGGAAGAGCGAGGTCGAGGAGAGGAGCGAATGGGGGGCGGCGGCAGCCGTGCCCCTCGACCCATCGTCGCACGGCCCCAACCCTAGGTGGTCAATCGTCGTGCGCCTGGGGGGGGTGGGGGGGGGTCGGCGGTCGCCGTGCCCCTCGATCGATCGACCGCCGCGCGTCGACCGATCGTCGCATGTCGAACCAATATGCCAGACCAGCTCGCATCCTTACCATTGCCCCCGCACGCGCCACTCATCCCCCCGTTCCCCAGGAGGGCGCCACGCCCATCGAGTGGACGTACGGGTACAGCAAGGAGATGCAGGCGCGAAAGGAGGAGGGAGGAGGGGCAGGAGGAGGCCGCGAAGCAGGGGGGGAGGGCGACGAGACGGAGGAAGAGGTGGATGAGGACGAGGAGGAGGAGGAGGAGGAGGAGGAGGAGGAGGAGGAGGGAGAGGGGGAGGAGGAGGGGGAGGAGGAGGAGGAGGAGGAGGAGGAGGAGCGGTAGGATTGAGTGAGAGGAGGAAGGCAAATACAGACGGAGGAGTGACAGCGGGAGCGGGAGAAAGGGAAAGAGAGAGAGATAGAGAGCACGATAGGGGATATGGCAATAGATCGAGAGAGAAAAACTACACATAGACAAGTAAACAGTCGGAGAGAGAGAGAGAGAGAGAGAGAGAGAGAGAGAGAGAGAGAGAGAGAGAGAGAGAGAGAGAGAGAGAGAGAGAGAGAGAGAGAGAGAGAGAGAGAGAGAGAGAGAGAGAGAGAGAGAGAGAGAGAGAGAGAGAGAGAGAGAGAGAGAGAGAGAGAGCGGGAGAGAGAAGATAAACAGTGGCATGCTATGGGGTCGGATCAGGGATACGCGAGAATGGCAGGAGAGGGGCAGAGACGGATGAGGAGGCGGACGCGGGGGACGATGAGGAGAGCGTAGTCTTCAAAGCCGAGAAATCTAGGCGAGGAGCTGATCAGACGAGGCAGAGCGACACGGGGGAGAAGAGGACGGACAAAGAGGGGGAGCTGAGAGGAGGATGGATGACATGAGCAGGGTGAACATATGATATCATGAGTTGATTTGCGCACAGCCCGATAGGCTGCCTGGCGCAAGGGCGCGAACAACCCGAAGGGCAAGCTGGACTACAGCGCTGCGATGCGGTGCGATCCCACGCGGGCTGCCGACGCGCCCGTCACCGCGCGCTGGGAAGACAACGACGAGTGGATCGCGCCAGGGCTGAGCCATGGCGCGCTCGCCGCAGGGGAGGAGACAGCTGGGGGCAGGTCCAAGAAGGGCGCTGGGTGGCTGTGGCAAGGCCACGTCTCCGAGAAGCGCCGCATCCTGGTGGACAGGCACACTCGGGGAGACCAGGTGTTCGTCGCGCTGTGGCAGCTCATCAAGGAGAGCGGCGGCCCCAAAACGATGGTCTCGCAGATCACGGTGCAGCCGCAGCACCAGCTGCGCGAGGTGGAGAGCTTCATGGTCGACATCGGGAAGAAGTTCCCCAGCGGGGAGATGACCAAAGAGGCTGCGCAGGAGGCCAAGAAGAGCTGGGTGGACGATCATGGCGCCATCGCCAAGAAGCGCCCAGCCGCTGCAGCGATGCCAGCCGCTGCAGCGATGAGGAGGCCCGCGGCCGCGGCCGCCGCGAAAGAGGAGCTGCAGGATCAGCTTGATGATGGCGACCACGATGGTGAGGATCAAGAGGAGGAAGCTGCCTCGCACAACGAGCCTGAGGATGAGGAAGAGGAGGATGCTCCAAGTCATGCTGAAGAGCCGCTCGTGATGAAGAGGCCCGCTGCTGTGTGCTCGGCCGCCGTGTTGAGGAAGCCCTCGAAGATGCAGAAGACCACCAACTCCGACGACGAGACAGCAGCCCCTGCGGACGGCGCGGCTGCCGGTGCCGCCAAGGCGGCAACCCTGGGCCGCAAGCCGCCGCCCGATCCTGAAGGTGACGCCCCAGCGGATAGCAGCGCAGCGGCAGCGCCCCAGCAGGCGCTGCAGCAGGCGCCGCAGCAGGCGCCGCAGCAGGCGCAGGCACCTCCACAGGGTGGGGCCAGGAGCGCGGCGCCTGCCCAGAACGAGGCAGGTGAGACCCAGGGATGGTGCGTGCCCTTCATCGGCGACGGTTTCTTTTGATTTTTTGCTGCCGCGAGTTTGCGTGCGATATGATCGCCCACTGTGCTCGCACAAGCACCACAAACAGCGCTAGCATGGCGTAACTGGCTTGACTTAGCCTGCGCCGCGATTCGACATTACTATTTCCTCAATGGGGGTTCGGGTGTCCTTGAGGTTTCCTGCAGTTTCCACGTTAGCGTCGTTGCAGTCCGAGCCCTCCCACATTACAATTCCTGGGGTAACCTTATAGCTGCCAAATGCGCCGTCGGCCCGTGCATCATGGGGTATCGTCATCCCTGGATTCCCTTCATCACCCACCTCCTCCCGCCAAGCTCCTCAATGTCTGGGTTATTCGCCCCTGCGTCGTGCGATGCAAACTATCGTTGCCATTCCTCCGCAGCGAAGCGGGTCAAGTCATTGACCTGGATGTTCAGAGACATTCGAACGTACATCCGCAGAGTGCCGATGACGAGGAGCCGCTCCCCTCATCGCGGCAGCCCCAGCGCTGATGCCAGCAGCACGGTGCCAGCCAAGGATGGTGAGATCGGAGCGGAGCTGATGAGGGAGGCCGAGCGCGCCCGCCGCGGCATCGAGGCCACGAAGCAGGGTCGTTGGTCGACGAGCGAGATGGCAGACGGCGCAACGCTTGTCGATTCGTTCCAGGAGGCAACTGCGGGTGACAGAGGAGAGGAGGGGGATGAGGAGGAGGAGGAGGAGGAGGAGGAGGAGCAGGAGGAGGAGGAGGAGGAGGGGAGGAGGAGGGGGGCAGGGGGCTGCTGTCAGCTCCCCCCAGGCTTCGACGCTACCCTGCCCCCTCCCTCCTCCTCCTCCTCCTCCTCCTCCTCCTCCTCCTCCTCCCAGTCCTCCCCCTCCTCATCCTCCTTCCTATCTCATCTTCTCGTCCTCCTCCTCTTCCTCGTCCAGGGCGCTGCGAAACCACATCCGCATGAAATCCGCATAAAATTCAAAGAAAGTTATCATAAAGTTACAGCTGGCTTTCACCGCGCCCGCCCAAGGCGCCCTTCAAGCAGACGGCCTTCGCAGCGGGCCAGGAGGCGAGCGCGACGGCGACTGGCGAGGATCACGGGCGATACTACAATTGATTTGAGTTCGGGAGGAGGAGGCAGAACTTAAGGACGAGGTGGGCACATAATGAAAGCGGGGTCAATGCAGCGGAGGAGGAGGTGGAGGAGAGAGGGAGGAGGAGGGGAGAGGAGGAGGGGGGGGGAGGAGGAGGAGAAGGAGGAGAAGGAGGAGAACGATGGAATGCCAGGGGGGATGGAGTGGGGAGTCTGGGCTCTCGGAAAGAGGAGAGGTAAGACGACTCGAGGGTGCTTGAAGATAGACGAGCCCCCCCCCCCCTCGCCCGCGCCCCCTGCTGCGCGGCCCACGCAGGAGCCCGTGCTGATCTCCAGCGACGACGAGCCGCTCTCGCAGCACCTGCCCGACGGCAAAGCGGCAGGACATCGGATACCATAGGAGGAGAAGGAGAAGGAGAGGAGAGGGAGATATCGGGAGGATAGGGGGGCAGGGGCGGGGGGGAACGTAGACAGACGGCAACGCTGTTGGTGAGGAGCGAGTAGGGGGCGGCGATGGGGAGGGGGAGGAGGAGAACGACGGCGAGGGAGAGGAGGTGGAGGTGAAGGAGCACAAGGAAGAGGAGGAGCTCCCTAGGAGGAGGAGGAGGAGGAGGAGGAGGAGGGAAGAGGTTGGATGGTTGGAGGAAGAGAATGCGAGGGAAGCTGGGGCGAGGATCCACCTCCCGCCTCAACCCGCACCTCCTCCTCGCGTTGCCACCCCCCTCCGGCCTCAGGAGCTTCAGTTGCTTGCGATGCGCCTGGTGTTCCAGCTCCGCAGGCAGCCGCGCAGGAGCCCGTCGATGGTGGCGATGATGTGGGCAAGGTTGCTGATGACGGGCTGTCGCAGGAAGCAGAGGCCCGTGCTGCGCGGGCGAAGGCAGAGGAGGCGGCGCGGGGGGCAGCGGAGGCGGCGGCGGCGTATGCAGACCTTCCTGACCGTCAGCCGTCAATAGCGCCGAGCGTCGCCGAGCAGACTCCCCAGCCCAGCGAGCCCGATAAGTTGACCAGGGCGAAGCTCAGGCAGCACGAGCTCGAGCAACCTGCTGGGGACTTGAAGCCAGCCGATATCACCGCGCCGCCGCAGAACGTGAACGCCACCAACGACGGGCTGACTGCGTCCACCTTGCTGAAGGCCGTCGCCATCGAAGTCAGCATGATCCAGCAGAAGCTAGAGTCCCTCAGCAGTGACGACCCCCAGACATGCGCCGAGATCACGTCGCAGAAGCTCGCTGCTTTCTTCAAGGGCCAGAGGCTGCAGGAGGTCCAGAAGTTGCGCCAGGCCCAGGGGCGGGCAGCCGCGCAGGAAGAGGAATCTAAGGACTCGACCGAGTTCAGCGCGAGCTCAAGACCAAGAACATGTGGGGCAAAGTCAAGAGCGAGAACTTCAACGTGCCGACCTCGACGGGGAAGGACAACGCGATTGGCGCGCGCTGGGGGCATGCTCTTCGCACTGACGCAGCCGTGCAGGCCGAGTACGCGCAGGCGAAAGGATGGCCAGCCCAGCGTGAGGTTCGCAGGCAGTGGGCCAAGAAGGAGTATGAGACCTGGTTCAAGACCCAGGGCTTCAAGCACGGGGTCAAGAACACCAAGACCGAGACCAAGCGCGGCACCTACATGACGCTCCAGCGCATAGCGCACAAATCGGGGGGAGGCGCCGCAGGCATGCGGCGCGCAGTGAAGATCGCAACGAACGCCACCCTGCTTGGGGGCCACCGGGTCAAGTGGGACGATATGGGCGAGTGCGTGCTCTACTTGCACATCGAGCACCACCTAGAGGACAAGTGGGAACAATCGTGGACGCAGTGGAGCGAGTGGCGCACCAACGCCGTTGACAACATCAGTGGCAACGGCGGCAGCAGTGGCAGCAATGGCAACGACGTCGTCAAGCCACATATCCCGAAGGCTGCGTCCCACGACCCGCATGGCACGGACTGGGCCGCGCTCTCGGCCTTTGCGCACCCGCCTGCTGCTGGGATGGCTCCTCCGCAGCTCGTCACGAACCCCGACAAGTCCCTCGTCCGCCTCCACGGCAGCAACGACGCAGCAGGTGCAGCGGCAGCAGCCGCGGCGCAGGTGCCAGCAGGAACGCCAGCGGAGGCGCCAGCCGCGCAGCCGCCAGCTGCGGGGAGCGCCGCGCCAGCAGCAGCGAAGGGGCCAGGGCCAGAGACGCTGGATTACTCGGCGAATCCGCCAACTGCGAGCGTTGCCGCGCCAGCAGCAGGGAGCGGAGATGGCGACGGCGAGCCAGAGAGCAAGAAGAGGCGCACTGACGAGGGCGGCGATGCAGGAGGCGGCGATGCAGGAGACGCTGGCGCGGCGCAGCCTGGTGGTCGCAAGCCAAGGCCGAAGCCGCAACCTGTTCCTGAGTGGCTGAAGAAGTTCCGCAACCTCAAGACCCTCTGGACCACTGTGTCTGGCCAGGCGAAGATCATCCTCCGCTTGATCGAGTCGAAGGACCCGAAGTGGAAGTTCGCCGACTCCGAGGAGATGCGCGGCCCCCTCTCGAGGCAGTACACTATGGTGCAGCGGAGCTCAAACAATATTTTTCCCCTGCCAACCTCCACCGCCCACCGATCACTTTCAATGCTCCGCCTCTCTTCCACCACCTTCCGATATCTGTCCTTTCTTATCCCCGACGCATCATCCTTCCATCCTCATTTTCCACCTAAGTGTCCTACTTCCCTCTCCTCGAAACTTCGCATCTCCCAACGACGATCGTTTTGGCGATGCTGCGCCACTGCCGATTCCCTCTCTACTGCATCTGTCTCCACTGTCCGTCCATCATCCGATGATGCACTGCCCTCCCCTCGTGCGTTTCGCGGGCCTGGAAACGGTGAATGATATATTTCGGGGGGATGGGGAAGATGGGGGGAGGTCGCATGGGGCCGCCGCGCGAGTTCGGCACGCCCCCACCCCCTACCCTTATACGTCCACCCCTAGAGCTATTCCCCCACCAACTAACCTACCTCTATATCCCCTACCCCCTACCCCATACCCCTTCCACTATCCCCTACCCTTATTCTCTATCTCTACACCCTGCCCCTGGCCCCTACGCCCATACACCCTACACCTACCTGTATCCTTGTTCTGGGGAAGGTCGCAATATTATGGCACTTCCCTCGCGCGGGTCGCCGCCCCATTGGGGTCGCGCCGTCGTTGGTCCTGTTCTTCACTCGGACTCGCATGGGGTTGGGCCCTTCGGCATATTTGTTTCGCCCAACGCAGGTGATGAACATCATCGATGGCGACTCTGTGACTGCGCAGCTCATGCTGGGTGACCTGAACCAGCTCAAGGAAGACATGGGCCAGTCTTTCGAGAAGAAGGTGCTCAAGGCTTATGCTGACCTGCACAACCCTATTGAGGATGTCTCGAACGCCATCGAGAAGCTGCACAAGCACGCGAAGATCGATAGGGGCGACAAGGCTGGCTCGGCAGGGAAGTGATCATGCGCAAGGCGCAACTAGTGAGGAAGGCAGCAGCGAGCACGAAGTAGCTTCGAAATGCTTCAGCCTCGACACATCATACATGACATGAATACGAGCGCGCATACAATTCGACTGGAGCACACAACCGCACGAGCACGCGCGAGCACACACCGGAACACGACCGAGCGCAGGCCCGTACACACTGGGACGCACCGGCGTTCCGAAAAAAAATAAAATCCGCAGAAATTCCGCATAAAGTCCACATAAATTCCGCATAAACTTCTCATAAGCCTTCATGTTTCAACAAGTGTATCACAGAAACGCACCGCATAAACTCCGCATGAACTCCGCATACACCCCGCATAAACTCCGCATACATTCCGCATAAACTCTGCATACACCTTACGCGAGCTCGGGCGCACATGCGCGCACATATCTTCCAATGGAACGCCGAGGCTGCAGCTAGGTAGGGGGCCGTCTCTGGAGAAGTTTGCTTTGAATGCGCAAAGCAATTTGGGTATTTCTCAAGGGGCAGACAGGGGCGCGAGTTTCTTGATCAAGACATCTGTCCGCGCACCCACAGGGCATGGTTGTTCATCCATGTGATTTCTCGAGTGCCCAGGAAGTAAACGTTCAAAAAACGCGTGGTATGTGATGATCGGTTTGCACTCGCAGAGTACATGATGTCTTGTGACGAGAAACGCGCGCCCCTACTTGAGACGGCAAGTGCTGGGATGGACAAATTACGAGCATAAACATTATCGCATACATGCGTGTCCCTCCCCACAAGCTGAGCATGCGTACACTACGTTGGGGAGATGTATACATACTTGAATGTCCATCCTGGCGGTAATGCTTTGCCGACGGACAGTCTGACTGTAGGAACATTGCGCACGTGCCCAGAGTCAAGAACAGCACGCATGAATCGTTGATGCCTGCAACGTACGCAGGTCGCGTGCACGAAAGGGACGATTGTAGAGAATGAAGCAATGATAGTGAGCAAGGACATGAAAGTAGATGAGTCAGCAGAGATACACCATAGTAGACTCACTGGGCTGTGCGTCAGACTGCTTGTCAACCATTTGAAGTGCTCAGCTGCTCGTGCCCGAAGAGCAGACGGAAGCTGCTCGCCTGCATGCTCCAGTGGAGCAACGCAGCCTGGCGAGCGCAGCGTGCGGTCAGCGTTGGAAGAGGAGTTGCGGTGGCGCACCCTCGTTCCTGCATTTGTTTGCCCTCTCCTGCTACTTATCGTCCTGCCCCCCTGCGCTCTCTATTGCCTTCCCACCCCCCATCGTGAGTCTCCCAGACATCCTGGGGTGCGCCCCTCTGCGTCGACGAGGCAGCGTCCTGCATCGCCCCCTCCCTCCTCATGTCTTCCCCTGCCGCCTCGTGCTCTCATGCATCACTCGTCCTCTCGCTGCCAGACCCTCGGTTGCACGTTGAGTTGTAGCCTCAAGATCCACCGAATGCCAGGCTTAGGAATATTGTGCGTTATTGTGGCCCCATGAGGGCCGAGGCCCAGGCTCCGCCGAGGTCTCGGCAAGGCCCTTGTAAGCCTCATCGTGACCCCTAGCGACGTCTCAGAAGTTTCAGCCGTGGCCCCACGAGCTCCACCGAGGCAAATGAACGGTCGCTTGACGCAGCTGCGCTATTCGGGCACAACCCCTCACACGCGTCGTGGCTCAGAATGAAAGGTCACCGAAGAACGTTCGAAGCGCCACGGGGTACCATTGCCCAAGTTCGGCATACCATCGCGGGACTCAGTGCCACACGTGGGGCGGCCCGTCTTCTCGCTTGAGGAGAAGGAGGAGAAGGGGGAGACGGGGGAGGTGAATGAGGACGAGGAGGATAATGATATCGATCGGCGTAGGTGTCTTCTCGCTCAAGCCCCATGGCAAAACGCAAGCGTAGATCTGCCTACAGCAAGGCGCAGAGCGCGCATGGACCTGCAGCCGCTGCTCGCGCTAGGGGTGCTGGGGCCAGCTTGTTCGAGAAGTTGTTGGGGATGTATGGGACATCGAAGTTATCGGCAACTGATGTTTGTATCTTGTGCCACTATGCGGCACTTGCTGGCACGCCAGGTGCGAAGTTTTCGAAGTGCGCCATGGCGCCAGGGGCCGCAAGCGGAGCATATAAACGATATTTGAGAATTGTTCTTCCGAACGCGGGCCCCTTCTATTTCTTAGGCATGCCATCAGATGTTCGTGGACATCCAGAGATTCGGTATCACAAGCTTCCGATATCTTTGGCATTCAACTCCTTGTCGGATGAGGTGTCTCAAGACGCCAGCATGAGCCAGATGCTTACAGAAGGCGTCGATGATCCACACAGTCCGCTTTCGTGTCGTGCCTACACGTCGAACCAGATCGTCAAAACATCATCGAGGAAACAGGTGTTCGGCCCGTTCCTATCGCAGTTTACTTGGACGGAGTCCGTTACGCTGCCCCAGGCGCTGGCAAGCAAGACTCGATACTAGGAACATCATTCATTAGCCCTTCAAGTAACAAGAGGCACTTGAGCGTAGTGGCCCGAACAGGTGACTTCTGTGATTGTGGTTGTCATATATCTGGTGTAGCCATTACTCCATCCTGTCCCAGATAAAGTGGCAATTGCAAGTGATGAAATCAGGAGAGCCCCCGCCCGTGCGCCACGACGGCTCCCCTTGGGACCCTGGAGACCCGTTGGTTCATTCGAAGCCCCTCGCGGCCAGGTTTGTGATGATCTATCTGAAAGGGGATTGTGCAGAATGGGCTAAGACCTTGGCGTTGAGCTCGTGGGCGTCGTATTATAATTGCTGTCCCATGTGTCCAGCGCCGCTCGACTCTCCACGTCTTGTTTGAAGGGTTCATGGACCATGGGGGACTGCCATTCGCAGATAGAGATGAGAGCGAGTATGAGGAGGCATGCGCTGGGTGCGAGATCATCGTCGATGTTCGAACTGAGGCTATGCGAGACCAGATTCGTCGCCGTCTTTCGTTCGAGCCAGGTGGTAAGTACAAGGGTCTCACAATCTTGTCTGACATAGACGACGGGTGCGTTCATTTGCGAGTTGGTGACAGGGTGGATCTTTCCGAGGGTCCCGACACACACCGGTTCGACACGAAACCCATCCCGTTCAGGTGTTGTTTCTGGAGGGGGCGTTATCACGGTGATAAGCTCGTGCATTGGCCAACGCATCGGTGCCCACTCTTCGATCCGAGCATCTGTGCCTCGCCGCAGAGCGTCCTCGCGATCGACACGCTCCACTCTGTATACCTGGGGTCAGTGCATAGAGTGGTGTCAACGGTCTTGCGGCGAACGATCGAGGCGAACCCATGGGGCATTGTCGGGGGGGCCAAGGCGACTTCGAGGCTCGGATGTCGCCGCCTCGAAGCTGATATGTATGCATGGTTCGACTCGGAACACATTCCACACGATCGTCGGCTCGGGGGACTGAAACTATCCATGTTAGGTCCAGGGTCTTCAGGGTTGCCGCACACAGGTGGCCCAATGAGTACCAAAGCAGCGGAGTCTGGGATCCTGCTGAGATTTTGCAGCCGCGTTCTTGACAAATATTCTGGGCAATACGAGCACGGACACCTCGCAGTTGCAGTTCGCTCCCTGATCGCTTGGTTGGATGTCTGTCACGAAGCACCGATGCGTTTGAATTCTCGAGAATACCGATATTTACTAGACAATTGCGCGAGGCACATGTTTGCTTGCCGTGACGCTGGTATCAAGCGGACGGCGAAACACCACCTCTTTTGCCACCTCTCAATAAGGTCACAGGGCAGATTGTTCGAAATACGTAGTCGAGCCACGGCGTAGGGGTGAGGAGAAGGAGTGGTGAGAGGAGAAGAAGGAGGAGAGGGAGAGGATACGAGGAGGCACGGAGCAAGAGTGATATAATGGAGAGATCGAGGAGCGATGCCATGCTACACGCCATTGCACATGTAATTCGCCGCACACACGGCAGCTGGAGAGATGATAGAGAGAGACCCAACAACCAAAACAAACGATGCATGATGAGAGAGAGGGCGAACGATATTGAGTGGAGAGCGATGCATGATCAATGCGCGGGCGCGCTAGCCTTGTGCCACGCGTTCTCGGGCGCCCGATACCTCCACTCCCAATCAGGGCCAAGGGTAGTGCGAAGCTCTTCCCAAGCGTGCGAGTCATGTCTGATGCCTTCAGGGTGAGATCGCCGATGCATCGGATAGACGATCATCGCCCACGCATCGGCGATTCAACATGAACGCACAAGCACGCATGACAATCACCGTCCCTCCCCATTGCTGTGGACATATGGGTTGATAACACCTCGCGCCCTGTCCCCTGGGTGGAAGGCGGGAGGGGCATGGGGCGGAGGGGCAGGGAATAGAGCGTATGGGGCCAAGGCGGATACGGAGGTGCGCCAATCTTGTAAGCTAACAGTTCTACTTCGCTATCCGATTTTTCATGATGGTAATGCCCATCTGGGCCAGTGCAAGGGCTCCGCGGCGCGTGTCTGATGACTTCCCAGGGGTCATATATGTCTAAATATAAGCGGGCGCCTTGAGGCAGGCACGGGGGCGCGTGAGCCGAGCAGGGGGCAACTGGCGCCGCGACGTCGGGCCAGTACCTTTCGGAGGGGGAGGCGCGAGAGGTTAAGGGGCCCCACCAGCTGGGGCAGGGGGATGGCATGGAAGCGTGGGAGGGTAGGATGGGAGAGATAACAGGTGGCGCCATCCCGAACAAAATAGCCGAGGCCATTTGGTTCACCCCCTCGCCCCGCCCTCCACCCCCATCACCACCCCGCCCTGCATAGCGGCCTACTTGATAGATATCCCACCCCTACCCTCCAGGTCTTGGGTCATGGGGAACCCGTCATCATATTCAACATTCACTGACGAGGGCTTAAATTTCTTACTGAGAACTGCAGCCCAGCATAGTCACAGAGCAACGATGGAAGAGAATGTGCACAACGCGTATTTGATCATTGGGATGCTCGAGCTCAATAGGTACTTGTTTGGCTCGGGTAAATAATTGTACTATGGCAG